TGTGGGGTGGGGTGGGGTGGGGTGGGGTGGGGTGGGGTGGGGTGGGGTGGGGTGGGGTGGGGTGGGGTGGGGTGGGGTGGGGTGGGGTGGGGTGGGGTGGGGTGGGGTGGGGTGGGGTGGGGTGGGGTGGGGTGGGGTGGGGTGGTCTAGGGGACGAAAGAATTACTACAATTTAATCAAGGATACGGGGTTGAGGAAAGGGGGTATGGCCCTTTGGCGCTGGCAGGTGATTAAGTGTAGTGTTCGCTGCTGCCTGATAAATGTATTGACTTCATCACCCCCGCCCGACTCGACCCCAATTCCGATGAGTTTTCTTTCGCGGGTTTTCCCCCTCTTCCCCCCACCCGCCAGTGGAGCCCCTATTTCCCCCCCTGGAGCTGCTGTTGGTACTGCATCGGGATCTGGATCCCATGCGGGACGGAGTGTCGCTGAAGGTGAGTGCGTGTAAGCTGGGGAGGCGAGTTGTGTGTGCGGGGAGGGGAGGGCGAAGGGGTGTGCTGGTTTTCACCCCACATATTCCCCCTCCCCCCTCCCCGCTCCATCAAACCCATCTTTCCCCCATACATACATACATACATACGTACATACATACATACATGTATATACATACATACATACATATACATACATCTCCCCCCCTCCCCTTCTCGTTCGTGGTTCGTCTTTCCCTCCCCTTCTCAGTCGCTGATGGCGGCGGTGGACTTAGCGCTGCACTCTCCGGAGATCTTTCCCCAACCGGTAGGCCGGGGGGAACACTGGGGAGTGGGGACTGGGGTAGGGATGGAGGGGTGGAGGGGTGGAATCTGGTGCTGTTGGGGGGGTGAGGAGCGGGGTGGCTCGCTCTCGCTCTCCCGCCCTCCTCCGCGGCCCCCCTTCTCGCCGCACTGGGGTTCCTCTCAACCCTCAGCTCCGGCGGCCAACCCCAAGGGGGGTCAGTCCTGTTCTGCGCCGTTCCTACCCCATCACTCCATCGCCACATCCCATGTTGTCGTACTTGCCGTACAGGTGATGTTATCCGCCATCCGGGTGATGGAGGGACTGGTGCCCCTGCCCAGGATGTTCATGAGAACCGTCATCCAGGTGGGTGGGTGGGTGGGTGGGTGGGTGGGTGCCGCTGGCTCCGTTGTGGGTGTGTGTGTGGGGGGGGTGGGGGGGTGGGGGGTGTGGGGTGGGGGGTAAGGCGAACCACTGGCGAATGGAGCAGATACCAAAGACGGGTATTCCAGGAGAAGATAAATGCTGACAGGAAAATGTTACTGTGACCAGTGACGGCATCTGCGTAGTCTCGGCGGCGACGTAGCCAGCTGGGGTTGCGAGACGAATGACTGACTAGCTGGCAAGCCCAAAGTCCAAAGAAAGCAGAAGGCGAGGAACGCAGAAGGACTACCAAGCCGCCTAGATGAAAGGAAAGCCATGTAAAAGCAAGGAAAAAGAACGGAAGCCGTAGTGGTGTTGTGTAATACGAAAGGCGGCAAAGGAGGAAGGGTATCGGAAATTGTAGTATGATGTAAAGTGTGTTTGGGGGGGGAAAGGGGGGAGGATGTGGATGTCTGGTATCTGCTTCAATCGTCAGTAGTTCACCTCTTAAAACACCCCCCCACACACAACACACACACACAACACACACACACACACACACTTGACCTCCAACGCAGCCATTCCCCTCGACTCCACAGCGGGTACTCCCGGAAGCTTCTCTCACACTTTACACCACCACCATCGCCACCACTATATAACTTCCCCAACTTTCTTCCCCTTCCCCCCTCTCTCATTAACCCCAACCTCACCCCCCCACACACACACGCACACGTAGGCACTCAAGGCGGCCCCCCGACTGCGGGTGGATGTGGCCCTACTGCTGGAGCGCCTGGTGGCGAAGCAGGTAGACGAGTGGGAGCAGTTGGCGGTTGCAACGGCGGTTGTGAGTCCGTTTGCGATTTCGCGATTCCGTTTTAAATTACAAATCTAATAAATGCGGTTGCGAGTCCTAATCAACGTAGTCCCAAGTATTCATATGCGAGTGAGAGCGTGCGTGTGGGTAGGCTCCTGTTGCTGTTGCTGCTACTGCTATTGGCGCGCTGCCTACACCTAATCCACCTTGCTCTGCCAGTAATGCTCTGATTTCATACCTGCCATGACCCTCGTATGGACACACCCGCGAACAATACACCCCTCCTTCCCCTCGCTCCTACGCACGCATACAACATGCATGCACGTACATATGTACATACATACATACATGACATACACGCACGCGATCAGATCTGGACCGACCGCGACCAGTGGCGAGGCTTCCTCCTATGTGCCGACCACATGCGCTCGGACGCCTACACCCCCCTGCTGCAACTGCCCGAGGCGGTGTTGGAAGTGACACTGCTGGGAAATGCCGCCTCGGAGGGGGCTCGAACCCAGGCGGCTCGTATGGGCCTCATGCCGGCCGGCTGCCAACTGCCGCTGGCCTCGGGTGCTCGCCTAGCCACCCACGTGTTGCATCCCGCACCCAACCAGCCGCCCATCGCCAACGTGCTCATCACGCACCAGGTGGGGCTGCCGGCTGGGATTGTCTGTATGTATATCTAGCTGCATGTGTACGTCTGCCGGGCTGGCTGGCTGTGCTCGCGGGCGAGTGCGAATCGGTATATGGTTCGTATTTGTGGGATGGTTGCATCGTTTTGTGAGTGTGGTTTGTTTTACTGACCTGACGGCTGAGAGTTAGCTGAAGAGAGGGGGGAGCAGGAGCTGGCGAAGTGGCGATGGGACGGCACATGGGATGGTGGTGTGTGTGTGCATACGTATGTATGTGTGTCCCTGCTGGGGCATGGAGCCGTGGACGTACGCCCCACCCCACCCCACCCCGCCTCGTCGTTCCCGTCTCCCCTTCTAGATGCGCAAAACCTTGCAGCGGCTGCTGCAAATACAAACGGCCCAAGAGGCGGCGGCAGCGGCCGCCGCAGCCAAAGCGGTCAAGCCTGAGGCGGCGGCGGAAGGGGCGGTCACCGGACATTACGGCGCTGTTAAGGTAGAGGCGACAGCGGCAGCGGCGTCCGCGGCGTCGGGGGGGATGGGTGTGAAGGCGGAGCCGGGGACGGGAGGGGGTCCCGTTGGGGTGGTGTTACCCCACGGGGTTGACCCCAGCTCATCGGCAGGGAGTCGGGGAGCTGCTTTGCCTTCGGCTGGTGTGGGGCCACCGTCCGGGCCAGGAGGAGGAGGAGGAGATGGAGGAGCAAGCGCACGGGCTCCGGAACCAGCGGAGACGTCTGGGCGGGGTGCAGCGTTGACGATACGCGCGGGGCGAGAGGCGGCTGCCGCTGCGGCCGCAGCCGCTGCTGCGGCAGGGGGCTGGGGTTCCGGGGGTGTGGGGGGTTTGCCAGTAGTAAAGAGCGAGCGTGTGGGGGCGGGGGCCGGACCGGGGCGGGGGCCCGGTGGGTTGTTGGGGTCGGGGAGAGGGCCGGCGGGGGCAGAGGATGCGATGTTGGAGGAGGGTGCTGGAGAGGAGGTGGGCCCAGGTGGCCGCGGCGGGGGGGGAGGTGGCGGCGGGTCCGGGGCCCCGGGCGCGGAGACTGAGGCGGCGGAAGGTGGGGCTGTCGGCGGGGGGACAAATGAGTTTGAGTTGGACTTTGAGGACGACCTGTAAATCGGTTACACATACACTGGCTGACTGACTGACTGACTGGCTGACTGACTGACTGACCGACTGACAAAGAGACAGACGCACAGCCCGCAGTGTTGGTGGAAAGTACGGCATCCAAGGCGGCTGGTCGACCAAGGGAGGTTCAGGTCCGCCCCGCCCCGGGTGTCGGGGCGCAGTACAGCTTTGTGCGCAGTGGGGTTGCGGATGGCGACAGCCAGGGGACGACGAGGCTCAACTACCCGCCGTCCTTTTAGCCCCTTCGGTGGAGCTGCAAGTTTTGCGCCTGTTGGGATCTATCCGCCTGTTGGGATCTATCCGCCTGTTGGGATCTATTCGCCTGTTGGGATTTAGCTCTTCGTCGCGGGTTTTGAGCGGGGAAGGGCTATCCTGGAAGCAGCGACCTGGCGGCTGTACGGCTGTACGGCTGCTGCGGCAGAGGGAGCCCAGCGGCGTGTGTGGTTGTCAGGTCCGTTGAGCGAAAGGGGTTCAGCGCGTTATTGAGTGAACGGATTAGGACGTTTGGATGAATGAACGACCGCATAGGGGGGGACGGCATGGGGACCATCTTATGAAGGCTGTGTGTTATGGTAAGAGGTCAGAGGCCTAACCTCGGAGGGTTAAAACACAAGCCCTGCCAGGAAGGCAAGTGGAAAGGAAATGGAAGCGGAGGGGTCCGCCCTGGATGTCCAACCGCCATGCCATAAAAGCGGAGTGTATCTGGTGTTTCGATGATTGAGCGCGAGGGGCACACGAATGTATTACTCTACGGAAGTAAGCTCCGTAGTTCATGTATCCTCTGTGTGTGTGTGTGTGTATGTATGTGTGTGTGTGTGTTCATGTGTGCCTGTGTGTTATGGAGAAAGGAAGTAAGTGATGCCGTGGATGAAGTCCGTGTCCCCACCGGCAAGTTAGGTGGGAAAGAGCTTCGATTCCTTTTCCGCAGGTTCGAATAGCGAGGTGGGGAACCCTGGCCGCCTCCCCATCGTTGTGACGCACTGGATTGGAGGTTGTCCCAGAGCTCGTGGGGGACGTAGCAGGAGGAGGTGCACGGCTAGACACGAGCGGCTGCTGGTTGGATCCGACCAGGCGCGGTCAGGGCATATGCACACTGTGGCGCACGGCGTCCCGAGAGCGAGAGCGAGAAAGAGGCGTTGGCGGTATGATGTTGATGCTGAGGCTCACGCGTCTTCTATCCCAATAGCACAATTTCGGAGTGAAGTAAACGGAAGTTTTGGACGACTTTAAAATAATGCGTGCCACTGTGCTATGCGAAGGCCGGAAGAAAATTCGAGCACCCGCGCCATGTCCGCCCACCAGTTTTTTTTCCAGAACTGCCAGATCGACGGATGAAGAGCCCTGAGCCGGCCCCTCCAACCCCACCTAGCCTCATGCAGCCAAGGAAAACCCCGCGACAACGCAGATAGTTGCTTAAGAGGGCGACGGGCCGTAGAAGCACGCCATATGGGTGTAGCAACGAGAACATTTACAAGATCCCCTCTTCGAATCGACCATTGCACAAGGAGGAAGGAATGAAAACTGGAATTCAGCTTTTCATTCCGGACAACAGGCTGAGCACGTCCTGCATCCTTCGCTCAGGAGCACGCAGGTCATCCTCAGAAGAACCCACTACCTGGCACAGCAACATGACCTGCAAACGCCTTTAGTGCTCTCTCTAGCGATTGGGAGATGAGGGCAAGGAGCTTAGCTGGTACATAGAAGTCCACAGACACGTTCAGCGAGCCTCGATTGCCTGTATCCTTCCTCTCCAAGCTCTAATAACAAGCAATGCAGAGGCCCCGCACGAATTTTGAGTTTAGATACGCAAGACGCTTGAAGATAGGATTACTCCTATCAAGCTCGCAACCCCCTTGCTCGCCAGCACAAGAGAGCACCCCTAAATTCCTAGGTTAGTGCCTTCCGAACCGGTTTTAAGCATTCTCCCCACAACCAAGAGTGTCCCACACAAATGCAAGACACACTAGACCAGAAAAGTATTAAATCAGAAACACAAACGCAGCAATTCCGGACATCTAAACAATTTACCATGGCCCCAAACACCGTATGCTGAGCTGTGTTGTCAACACAATGGGCATGGGGAATACTGCTCGGTCCCTGGCCCCATGAAACTCCTCGCAATCAGTTCATGCAGTTTGCGTCGCTGTGCACACACCACAACTCCAACAATCATCATGCAGTCAAGAGTTAATCAATCTGTACATGAAGTCAAGACATTCCACGTCAAGCTACCCGCTAAGACCCGGGACGGAAGCTACACGCTTGCAGCTAGCGCTTGTCCGGTAGCGCTCCCCGTCAATCGCGCCGCCCTAAGCTACGAAACCACGGAAGCTAGGTCCCCATGGGTTTCATCGCACTTGCAAAGCTGCAATGCTTGTCTGGACACCCAAACCCTTACAACAGGTCTACCTCTTCCTCTTCCTCCTCCTCACCCCCGTCTCCTCCTCCCACCCCGAGCTGCATTTCCTCAATCTTCTTCTTGGCCTGACGAAGAATCTTCACCTTCCACGGGTCAAGCCGCGTGAGAGCGTCGTACTCCGCAAGCAATGTTGCGAACTTGGACTCGTCTAGCTCCCGCCGAGCCTCAACCAGGCCATCAAGCAGCGTAGCCTCCCGGGACCCGTCAAACTGAAGGTCTATGCCGCGGTACTTGTCCAGCTTCTTCTCGATATCAACCGGCTTGAGGTAACACAACGCGCAAATGCCGGCCTGCAGCAGGTACCCCCGCGCGCTGTACTTCAGAAGATTGTTTTCGACTGCGCGGCGGGCTGCATCCTCGAATATCTCCATGGCCTTTGAGTACCGTCCCATCTCCGCGGAGAATTCAGCTATCTTGAGCTTGCACTTTGTCGCTTCTGACGCTGAGTTCTCCATCTCGAACAAATCAGCCGCTTGTGTATAGTACTGGATAGCTTCCTCCTTCTGCCCGGCCTTCTCCATTTGCTCTGCGATCTCCTTCAGTTGCCGAGCGGCCATATTCAGCCTTCCCATGTCAGTGTAAAGGTTGACGGCTTGTCGAAGCAAACCTTGTGACCGAGCCTGGTCCTGCTTCCCGCACGCCTTAGCTGCCTCAACAAAAGCAGTCGCAGCCTCGTGCTTACTGTCCATTTTTAAGTAGCAGCCTGCAAGCTTCTCATACGTGTCTGCGCATTCATTCCACATCTTGGCGAGCTTATAATTGTTGGCAGCTTTCTCGAGCAGCTCCGCTGCGTCCTCGAACTTGTTGCCGAAGAATCCTCCTAGCAAGCTCTTCATCTTTTTTTCCGCCTGCTTCCGATATTCCTCTGCCTTGCCAGCATAGTCAGACATCTTTGCGTCCGGGGTTTGTCACCTCCTGCTAGCGGTTTTGCAAAGTGCAAACCTACAAGTTAGGCACTGCACCTTTAGCTATGTAATAATATGGAATAAATCAAAATGCAGACAACAAAACGACATGTTGGGGCAACCCACTTCAAGGGCAGCTGGCGTGCACGAACTAACGGACATGACCTGGTACGGCATTATAGACCATTCTCAACAGCCCAATCGGTTAAGGCACGGATGATAACACCACTTTCTAGGTAGTGTTTGTTCTATTTGTGCAATGTGTGAGCACAAGACGTGTGATCCGTAGGCACCCAGCTGTCACGAGTTTACGTTTTGTACACGGCAGACGTCGACGTGTTCCCATGCACTGCAAGTGCAACTGCTTCCTGTTTTTATCTATGCGATGACTTCCATAGCCACTTAGGAGTAGTACTAGACCTGTATTTGAGTCAGACTAAGTGATATGGCAGCTCCTCATAATCGTGCGGCGGAAGCTTTAATGCTTCATGAGGCAACAGCTGGGCGCTCAGGGCTGTCCAAGCTTGGTTCAGACCCGCCTCGTTTTAACGGCCGCGTGCGGACGGCTTGCCAAGAGGTGCGGTCTTGGTCCAGCCAAGCTCAAAAACCAAACACGCCGGCTACTCGCATCACGGCACACCGCAACTTTTCCATCCCAGTTATCATATCACCTGCTGCCTTAAAACCTTGCGTTTCGCGCAGAGACTTGGCGATGCCTTGGAACCGACCCTAAACTGGGCGACGGCGTCACCGGTGCCTCCACTGCTTGTGAGCAGGATGCAAGACAACCTTTGCATTTGGGGTAAGCCCCAACCTATGCTCTCTAGTCTTCTACTTTTCATCGCTGTACAATGCCAAACTATGGTATAGCCAGGGCTTGGACCCTCCCTTCATTCCCACCGAGCGCCAGGGTGCTCCCGGCACTTTCCGGAGCCCCAACGGCTCCAGGATCTTCAGAAATCATCCAAACCATCCAAAGCCACCTTTCCCGCCGTATCACACTGCAGGTCCCTTTCCTCCAGGTCATGCCCCGAACCCTATCCACACGCCTGGCACGGACATGCCTGCACTTGCAACCCCTGGTGCCCCCGCCAGCGGCACCCCCGCCGGTCGCTTCGCCGCAGTCAGCCTTGGCGACGGCCACGTGGCCGCCATCACTGTTCGCGGCGAGCTCCTCACCTGGGGCCGCAACACCCGCGGACAGTGCGGCCACAAAACCCCCACCTCTGAACGAGTCACCACTTGTCACCACAACAGACCCCAATCTCCCGGCACTGCCACCCGGAATGCCTCGCCGCAGCTAGTGCGCTTCATCCCCCCGCTTCACTCCCCCGCAACAGCTACCGGCCGTTTAATAACACAGCTTCAGGTGCAGGTCCGCGCGGTGGCTTGCGGTGGCAATCACACACTTGCCATCACCTCCTCCGGCGTCTTTGCCTGGGGCTGCAACGCCGTCGGCCAGTGCGGCCTGGGGTATTCCACCGCACCTCCCGGCGGTTTTGTGGTGCAGCCGGTGGCTGTCCCGGCCCTTATCAACGTCCCAGTTTCTCAGGTCGCCGCCGGCAGCTCGCACTCCTTGGCGCTCACCTCCGCCTGTGAGGTCCTGTCGTGGGGTGAAGGCACGTGGGGGCAACTGGGCCTGGGGGATCACAAGATGAGACACGAACCCACGCCCGTGGAAGCGCTGTGGGCGCTGCCCGTGGTGCAGATCGCCGCAGGACACACGCACTCCGCCGTCGTCACCAGTAGCGGCCACGCCTTCGTATGGGGCTGCAACAGCTACGGGCAGCTGGGGCTACTGCCAGAGCCAGAGGCAGCACAGGAGGCGACGACGGGGACGACGTCACCGCCGCCGCCGCCGCCATCACAGGACAAGCAGCATCAGGAGCAGCAAGAGCGTTGCCCATGTGGGATGGCACAGGGGGAAATGAGACCGGGGGACGCCGAGGGCCCGGGGGAATGCGAGCGGGGACCCGTTGGCGGTCGGCGGCGGGTGGTACCCGTGGACCCGGGACCCGAACCCTGGACTGACGGCCCCGGGCCGCCAGGGCGCTGCTCGGTACGCGGTGCGGCGGGTGGACCAGCTGGGCAGCCCGGTGTGGCGGCGCAACAGCTGCTGCAGCTGCCGGACAGCCCCGATGTGGGTCAGCGGGGCAGCGGCAGTCAAGTGCGACATATCGGCGGAGCTCCGCAAGCAGCCCACCAGCAGGAGCTCCCTCAAGGGCACCAGCACCACCACCACCGGCAACAGGAGCGGCATCGGGTTGGGTTGCGGGTTCCTAGGATTCCCCAACCTCGCATGTCCCAGAGCCCCAGCCCGTCTGGCAGCCCCAGCAGAACTGGGTCAACAGTGCGAGCTTCGTTGAGGTGTGCGGCGTGTGGGGGTATGGGTGGGGGTCGCCTCTGGCGGATACGTCCCCACGATGTCGCGGCGCACATGTTCTATCACTTCCATAACACCGACACAGTGCGTTGCTGGCCTTTAGCCTACAGCTTCAGCTTGGCGTGGCGTGGTGTGTGTTTTAAACCTTTGCCTCGCGCTTTCCTTTGCCTCTCTCCTCCTCCTCAGGCGCAATGCCGGCGCTGGGGCCATCAACCCCCGGTGGCTGCTGGCAATGACGGAGATGGGCATCCCGCAGCGGCATGCCCAGGTAGTGTAGTGTGTTTATGTGTGTTTATGATCTGACCCGCGACGATGGTAGGGGTGTATATGTGTGTGTGTGTTTGCATTATGTGGGGTGCGGGACATGCGTGACTGAATGAACCAGCGGCAGCGGTGCTGCAGCCGGGCCGGTAGGGTATGGACGGGCAGGTCGGCGCGGAGTGGGGTCATCCCCGCGTCCTTGCGCTGGGGAGCTATAGGCGGGCAGCTATAGCTTAGCTCCCGGTAGACAGCGGCTGGAAGGTAGGTGAAGACATCTTGGGCCATTTCTCCTCCCGGCCGTTTCTTTCAGTTCCTCCTATCTTTGTCTGGGGCGCCGTTTCTTTCTCTCTAGAGCTACTCCGCCCCGTGTGGCCCGCTTGGCTTGTCAAACAAACCCTTAGTCAGCCCTGCTTTCCCCCAGGCCCCCTCGCCTTTCCAACGGTGCTCGGGTCTGTGTGGCTGCGGCGGGTGCTGGGTGATCTGCTGGCTCTTCCCCCCTCGCCCCCCTGGTACACTCTTGCCCTGGCAGCAGCTACACTCGTTTGTGGTTCGTCTTCCCCCCTCCCCGGGACAGATTGCGCTGGAGGAGACGGGGAACTCTGGCGTGGAAGGTGGGTGGGACCGCTGCGTGCTGTGTCTCTCCCTCTCTCCCCCTACCCCCCTTGTCTCTACCCCCCTTCTCTCTCCCTACCCCCCCCATCATGAGGTACAGCTACCGCAATCAGCCCGAGACGGTGCAATCCAATTTGGCCATTCATTCTCTTGTGCGGATCTCCTTTCGTGCTGTGTGCACATGAGGCGGTGCATTGGGTTTCAGCTTGCGTACGTCATCGCGTACGTCATTCATGAAAAGACCAACGAATGCCATTGCGCCCCTTAACGACGTCCGACACAAAAGGGCCCCCTTCCCCCACTCGTCCCAGCCTCCCAGACCGCATCATGCCCTCACCGGCTTGGTGCGAAACAACGAACCAACGAACCAAGCCGCTGCTCATCCTAATCCTGAGGTTGACTTGACACAAGCTGCTGCTGACCCCCCCGGCCTATAAACCTCCTCTCCCCCTTGTCCCGGGGCCCCTCTCCTCTTTCGTAAACATACACGAACACACATGGACACGGCACACACACAAACAACCACACACACCCCGCGGCCCTCAGTCGCCACGGAATGGCTCTTCGCCGCGGACCGTTCCGCCGTCCTGGAGGAACCTCCGGACTGTGAGGACGGCCACAACGAGGCCACAGCAGCCGCCGCCGCCGCCGCCAGCACGCTAAATCCGGGCGCTGCCGCGCCGCGCCAATGCGGCGGCACGGCGGTACACGCCGCCGCCAGCCGGCTGGAATGTCAACGCCGCCGCCTCGGCGGTGGTGAGGGCTCTGTGGAGGGCGGCAGTCGTGTTGCCTCAGTGGGCATCATCAGCAGTCCGGAGCTCCAGGGGGTGGTTAGGTTTCTGAAGGGGGAGGAGTTGGAGGGGACGGAGAAGGCGGTAAAGGAGGAGGAGGAGGAGGGAGGGGGGGGATGTGGCGACAGCAGGCGAGGGGGTGTCGATGATAAGTTGGAGGGTCTGGTGGTTCTGGAGCCGCGCCGTGTACCGCTGAAGGTGAGGTCTCGAGGGGAAGTCTCGAGGGCACGAGCAGTGATTTTTTTTTCATTTAGGGGGTTTCAATTTATTCCGACCTAAGTAACAAAAATGCTAGGGTCGCCGTAATGTATTCCCTAAGTGTGGGGCGCTGGGGGGGGCTACCCCGCACGAGTGGAGTGAAGATGGAGGTGGAGGTGCATGAAGAGTGACGGATTATGTTGATGCTGTCTATCGTGCTGTCCAGCTCCAACATCCTCCAATTTCTTCCCCCGCCCCCTTTTCCGCTCTTTGCTCGTGTATTAATTGGAAATTTATTCATTACGTGTTGCCGTACTGACCGTACCGGCCTGTAACATGTAGCTCCTTCCCCTTCCCCTCCCCACAACGTCAAATACACAACGGATGTCGCTCGTGTCGCAAACACCGCGTCAGGATGTGCGCTTCCTGGCCGCCGGCGCGCGTCACACGGTTGCAGTCACCGACTCCGGCGTCTTTGCGTGGGGTGATGGCAGCTGGGGCGCACTGGGACTAGGCCACCAGGAGCCCCGGGACTTGCCGTGCAGGCTGGAAGCTTTCTCTTCACCACCGCCACCAGCAGCAGCAGCAGCGACAGCAGGATCCCCGCCGTGCAGCGCAGCGGCCGATTCGGTGACTGCAGCGACTGCGGCGGCTGATTTACCTACTGCGCGGCATTACCTGCGGTCCCGACTCGGTGACGGCAGCAGCAGCAGCGGTGGCGGTGGCGGAGCCAATGCCGGGCCGGCAGTAGTGACGGCGGCTAAGGCGGCGGCTCCTGCTCCGCCGCCGCCAGTGATTCAGCGGGTTGCGTGCGGCACACAGCACACCTTGTTTCTAGCGCAGGATGGGACAGTGTACTGGTGCGGTACGATGGAATTTGGAGGCGGCGGCGCCGCCGGTGATGACGTCAGCGACGGCAGTCGTGTGGTGCGCTCCCTGGTACCGCGGCGGCTGAAACTGGTGTCAGGACGGGGAGGTGGCGGCGGCGGCAGGTGCGGCAAGTTGGGGGAGCCCCCAGCAGCCGCCGCCGGTGCCCCCGCCGCTGTCTTCGACGTCGTCGCGCGTGGCGCCAGCAGCGCCATGCTCATGTGCAGCCCGCGTGAACTCCCCCAGGTAGACGTCGGTTGAAGTGGTTCGTTGGCTAGCTAAACTCCCAACCCCACCAACAACCCAGCCCCCAGATGCTCCCCCCCATACACTTCTGCGCTTATTTTAGTCTTGGCGGCTAGGTAGGTAGTTTTCCGACATCTTCTTCACTATGTCATCCCGAGGCCACTTCCTGTAAGAACGCCTTTTGGTCAGTTCTACGTCTGGTACACTCTTGCCCTGGCAGCAGCTTCACTCGTTCGTGGTTCGTCTTTCCCCCCATATATACACACACACACGGGTAACATTACTTGCATCACCGTCGCCGCCACCACCACCACCACCAACATCATGTTGTCCATGTCCCTCTGTCCACCTGCGCCAACCACCTGCGGGTGGCAGGTTCTCCACCCGCCAGGTGGCCCTCGTCTGCTCGACAAGCTGCGGGGCGCGGTGAGGCGGGCGGCACTAGCCCGCACCCGGGCGGGACTATCAGACGGGGGAGGAGGAGGAGGAGGGGGAGGTGGCCGCGACTTGGCGCGGCTGTCAGCCAGCCTCAAGGACGTCGCCACAGGTGGTGGTGGTGGTGGTGGGTAGGCGGGTAGGCGGGTAGGCTGTGCCGGGAGGGAGGTGTGTAGCTGGGTGGGTGGGGTGGGATGCGTGACGGGAGGGAGGGTGGTGGGGAGAAGTCTGATTCGGTTTGTGATTTGTGGTTTGTGTGGTGTATTGTGGTCCCTTCTTCCCGCCTTCCCTCCCTCCCTCCTTCCCTCCCTCCCTGCTTCCCACCCACCCACCCAGCCACCGCAAACCCCTCCCCCCAGGTGTACGGACGGTGTTGAGCAGCCCCGCAGCCGTCAGCGCCGCATTCGGTCGCCGCAGCGGAATGGGTCTGGACGGGCCGCTGCTGGAGGAAGTGCTGGAGAGCGTACGGCAGCTCTTTAGCGACCCCCCCAGGTGATGCGGGTTTTGGAGGGGGAATGCTGGTTAGGTTACGTCAGGTCGGGGCCGCGGACACGAGGGGGGTACCCTTGCATGAGGGCGGGGGAGGGAGGGGAGCTGTTTGGAAGGGGAAGTTTGGTGTGGTATGGGATGGGGGTTTGGGGGGAAGTACGGGAGGTACATCTTCACCGCATTCACGGGTATCACACACCGGCCGCAGGTCCGCCAGCGGCAGCAGGGACATCGCTGGGGGCGAGAGGGCTGACGGTCATGGCAGCGGTGGCAGCAGCAGCAGCAGTAGTGCTTGCAGTACTGGCAACAGGGCTGGCGGCATTGGTGGCAATAGTCGTGGGACTGGTAGTAGCGGTAGGAGTAGCAGCAGCAGCAGCAGGGGTGGAGATATTTCCTGCACTGTTTGTGAACTTCATCGGTATTCCGTGGTTTCGGAGCTCCAGGCCGCTGCGGGGGCTCTGGTGGGGGACCTGGCGGCACACGTGCGGATGCTGGGGACCCCGGAGAGGGCCCAGGTGAGCGGGGGGGGGGAGAGGGGGGGGAGCGGGGAGAGGAGGGGGCCCCTCCTTTGCACCCTTAGGCATCAGTGTTCTGTGCCTGTGGTTGTGTCCCCGCTACTATCCTCTTTCCCCCCCCACCACCCCCACACAACAACATACATACTTACACACATAACACAATGCAGGTTATCCTGGCGGCTCTGCAGCACCCGCTTCTGTCCGAGCCGCGTATCGCCCGCCAGCTGCTTCCCCGCCTGGTCGCCACAGTGACGTCCGCTCCCGCCGTGGTTCGAACCTGGCTGGTGCACTGGTGGTCAGATTACCCTGGTGGGTAGTTAGTGGCTTGTGGGTTGGGGAACAGAGGGGAGGGGAGGGGAGGGGAGGATGGTGGGGGCCAGGTAAGGGTAAGGGACGGAGATCAGCAAGGACGCACACATTTTCATAGTCCCAACTACCCCGCACGGAATCCCCCCTCTCCAGTCCCTCCCCCTCCTCCCAACATCTCCCCCCACCCTTTTTCTCTAGGCCCCCTGCTAGAGGCCCGAGTGGTGGGCCCCCTGCAGGACTTCCTGACCAGGGAGCTGGGGGCCACTAAAAAGCTGACGGTGAGGAGGGAGGGGGGAAAGGGAGGGGGGTGGGTGGGTTTTTTGTATGTGTGTGTGGAGGGAAGGGTATATGCCTGCCTACGAATCCCCCTTTTCAAAGCCACACATCTCTTTAAGCTGCTCTACCTCGCCAACGCTTCCCCATCCTCACTCCCTTGCCTTTCCGCCCTCTCAACCCTCCCCCCCTCTTCCCCTCTCATTGGGTTCGTGTTTGTCCTTGCCGCTATCCTCTCCCCCACACCTCGTCCCAAAATACATACACATGCACATACCGACATACTGACGTACTCCCTCCAGGTTGTCCTCATGAATGTGATCAAGGTGTTGGCCCTGGTGGAGGAGGCGGCCAGTCTGAGCCAGTCGCTGCCGCCCGAGGCGTTTTACAACGCCCTCATTTCGGAGAAGCTGGACGTGCAGGACCACTACTCGGCGTGGCGGCAGGCGCAGGTGGGGAATGGCAGGGGGCCTGGGGAGAGGGTGGGGTTTGGGGGGGGAGTCGGGAAGGTTGTGTGAGGTTTGTCTGTGTGTCAGTGTGTGTCAGTGTGTCAGAGGGGGTGTGCCAGTGCATGTGTGTGTATGTCTGTGCGTGTGTCAGTATGTGTGTCAGTATGTGGAGGTGCGTCTGTGTGGGAAGGTGGGGATGTTTGACAGGCGTCACTAAATGATGGTTCGATGGGTGGGGGGGACTACCGCGATGGCGGAAGGTTGTAGGAGGCCGCTTCCGAATAATCTCCTCCCCCTTCCCCGCTGTCTTTTTCACATTTCCGCCATCCACCTACCTAATACCCACCACCATCACCTACCACCCACCCCAACACACTGGTCTGGAAACCCCCTCACAGCCCCTCTGACCTGACCCCACCTGAGCTGGTCCGTGCGCCAGCACCAGCACCCCAGCACCCCAGTCGCCCTCTAGGGGTAACTCCCTTCCCCTCCCCTCCCTTCCCCTCCCTTCCCGCACTGCACTCCCCCCCTCTTCCCCCTTCCCCCCACCCGGCTCTCCGCAACCCGCCCAACCCCCCATCTGCCCCGCCCACCCCAGGAGCTCATCTCCTCCGGCTGCCCCGACCCGCCCCTCCGAGAGGCGCCCTTCTCCTTCTGCAGCTACCCCTTCCTGCTGGATGCGCGAGCCAAGTCGCACCTGCTGCACCTGGAAGCCAGGTTCAGAATGGAGCAGGTGCGTGTGGAGGGGGGAGGGGGAGCAATGGGAGCTGAGGCAGGTTTGCCTGCTTGCACGCCTGTGTGCACGTCTGTCTGTTTGTCCGTCTGTCTGTTTTCCTGTCTTTCTATTTGTATGCTTGTCTGTGTCTTGTTTGCGTGCTTGCCAGTCTGTCTGTCTGTCTGTCTGTCCCACATATCGTCCATGTGCGAGTTCACATGCGTTCTTGCAGAGTGTGGCGCACGCGCGCATGGTGGTACAGCTGTACGGCGGCAGGTGCGCTGCGGCACAACGGCGGGCAGCGGAAGGCCTGGTGCTGCAAAAGCAGGCAGCAAACAGCTGTGCCACGTGTAGTCGTAGCAGTAGTAGCAGTAGCAGTAGCAGTAGCAGCCCTCGACGCAGCGGCGGTGGCGGCGTTGCTGCTGCTGCTGCGTCGTCGTTGTCGTCGTCGTCGACCGGTACCGGCGCCAGCCATGGCGGCAGTAGCAGTAGCAGTAGCAATAGCTGCATCGGTACTGGCAGTAACATTTTCAGCGGGTCTCTTCGTAGCCTGTTCTCGCTACTGCGACGGCGGCTTGTGAGCAGCACAAGTAATAGCGGTCGCAGCGGCGGCTGTAGCAGCGGCGGAACCGACGACGCGAGGGACAGGGATCAACACGACAAGCGGGCGGGCCTGGAGGTAGGGTAGGGTAGGGTAGGGTAATAAGGTAGGGTAGGGTAGGGTAGGGTAGGGTAGGGTAGGGTAGGGTAGGGTAGGGTAGGGTAGGGTAGGGTAGGGTAGGGTAGGGTAGGGTAGGGTAGGGTAGGGTAGGGTAGGGTAGGGTAGGGTAGGGTAATAAGGTAGGGTAATAAGGTAGGGTAATAAGGTAGGGTAATAAGGTAGGGTAATGAGGTAGGGTAGGGTAATAAGGTAGGGTAGGGTAGGGTAATAAGGTAGGGTAGGGTAGGGTAATAAGGTAGGGTAGGGTAGGGTAGGGTAATAAGGTAGGGTGGGGTAGGGTAGGGTAATAAGGTAGGGTAGGGTAGGGTAATAAGGTAGGGTAGGGAAGGGTAGGGTAAGGTAGGGAAGGAGGACCTCTCGGACCGGTTTCCTACCACTAGCACTACCCGATATCCACTTTAGGCGGAAAGTGGCGGAAAGCGAATACGGCCAGAACACCAATTGGCATTATAAGAACTAAAACTAGACTGAGTTGAGGAGTCAGAAGAAATTTCAAACACCCCCGCACCCCCCCATTTTCACGTCCCGCTCCCCACCACCCCTGCATGCCTCGTGGGGAGCATCGGGGTCACGGTGCCCCTTTCCTTTTACCCACTTTTTTTCCTTTCCTCTTCTTGCTTTCGTTGTCCCTACTCCCCTACTCCCCTGCTCCCTCACCCCTTTCTCCCCACACCCCTACATTTCTCCCCCCCCCCCACCGCATCTGGCCGGGGCCTCCGACGTTTCCCCACGCCACACGCACACCCACGTACGTACATACACGTACGTACACACACACGTTCGGAACGGGGTCAGCTTCCCCGCCCCTCGGAGTGCGCCATGCCCGGCGTGCACAGCGACATGTGTATTGTACGAGTACGGCGGACACACCTTGTGGAGGACGCGCTGGAGGAGCTCGGCAGACAGGTCAAGAGCGACCTGCTCAAACCCCTGAGGTGCGTGTCTGTGTGCGTGCGTGCGTGCGTGTATGATGTATGTCTATTTGTCTGTTTGTCGATTTGTCGATTTGTCTATTTGTCGATTTGTCGATTTGTTTGTTTGTCTATTTGTCGATTTGTCGATTTGTCGATTTGTTTGTTTGTCGATTTGTCGATTTGTTTGTTTGTCGATTTGTCTATTTGTCGATTTGTTCATGTCTGTTTGTTCATGTATGTGCCCACGCGCAGGGTGCACTTCATCGGTGAGGAAGGTATAGACGCAGGGGGTGTCAAGAAAGAGTTCTTTGCGCTGCTGATGGAGCGGCTGCTCCGCCCGGATTACGGCATGATGCTGTACGACGAGACAAGCCGTACATACTGGTGCGTCTGTGCGTGCCTGTGCCCATGTGTCTGTGTATGCCTGGCGGCACGTTATATGCGCTGTTGTGTGGTGTGTGCGGGAGGGCACCCACTCGCAGAGTTGGTCGTGGCGTGAGTGGGTACGTGAGGTACGGACACACACAGGGGGTGGAACAGCCGGTGAGCGATTTGTGATAGCCGGGAGGAAGGGGAGGAAGGGGAGAAGGGGAGGAAGGGGAGGAAACAGTCACATGCACGGGCATACATGCAATTTAAGGACGTACACACAAAAAAGTACATACAAAACGTGTTTTGAACGACTATAAATGTGTTTGGGAGGACCAAGAAGGGCGCGAGAAGGGCGCGAGAAGGAGGCGACAGCGGCGCAGTGGCAACCGAGGCCACGTGACAGGACTTGATGACTGAACCAGTTGAGAACTTGAGCCTGGACTGAAGCCCAAGAAAACACCCCCGCTTACGTGTGTGTTTGTGTGTGTTTCCCCCGCAGGTTCAATCCGGCTTCCCTGGAGCCCCCCGACAGCTACTTCCTGTTGGGCCTTGTGTTGGGTTTGGCGGTGTACAACAGGGTGCTGCTGGCCTTCCCCGCCCCCCTGCTGCTATATCAAAAACTCAGGGGGGCCAGGGAGCCGGGGTTGCGGGATCTGGAGACCTGGCAGCCGGAGCTGGCCCGCGGGCTGAAGCAGCTTCTGGAGGTGCGTCTGACTGTATGTGTGTATGTATGTATGTATGTGTGGGAGGGGGTAGGGGGGGATTGTATGTGGGGGGCCCCTGCGCGTGTAGGCATGGGGGTTTAGGGTTTTGGATGGGTACGGGTGCTGGGTCGTGTGTGTTTTTTCGGATTGTGGAGAGCGCGGGTAAGAGCTGGAGGATGGGCGGCTAGGGAGCCCTTGGGTGCGTGCGGTGGTGGGTTTTGTTTGGTGATGGAAAGGCTACAGGATCCCTCCACGTGAAGGTGTACTGCTGCACATGGCCCGGCCTCGCCCCTGCTGAGCTGTGTTTTGTTGCACACGGGAGTGAACACTCTGTTGGCCTTTATCCGTACCGTTGCCGTACATATGCAGTACAACGGTCCCGAGCCCGTATCGGAGGTATTCGGTTTGACCTTCTCCGTGGACGTTGACCGTTTCGGTCACAAGGAGACGGTGCCGTTGAAACCAGGTGGGTGTACCGGTAGTTGGTTGGTTAGTTGGTTGCCGCCATGTCAGCTGGCAGAGGCAGGTAGGCAGGTACCCAGAACGTTGGCGATCTTGCCGATACGCGTGTGACGCTATCTGTATACGCATGTGTTTGTGTACGTGTGTACGCGAGGGCTCTACTCGCTTGCGTTCTCTATCACCCGCCTCGCCACCCTACCCGCCCGCATCTTCTTCCCCCCTCCCCGCCGGCCCAGGAGGGGAGGTGATTGCGGTGACGGAGACCAACCGTGCCGAGTACGTGGCCTTGCTGGCGAGCTGGTACCTGGGGGGGGCAGTGGCGAGCCAGTTCGAGGCCTTCGCTGCGGGCTTCAGAACGGTGTGTGCCGGACCCACCTTGGTGCTGTTCAATGCACAGGTGCGTTACGAGTTACATGTTACACACACACAGACAGACACACACACACACACACAGACACACACACAGACACACACACACACACACACACACCAGGGTTCGACACTGACCTTCCTGAAACTTGCGGGCTCCCCCGTACCTCCCAAATTTTCCTTACGGAGGGGCCCCCGTACCAGGCTCCTGTACCGGCCGAAAACCTTACAGGGGCCCCCGTAACCCCCGCAAAACCTTTACGGGGGCACTGTCCTTGGCTAAACGCTGTGGAAAGTGACGCTTTGCATTTTTTGCCCTGTAAGTCGTTATTTTCTCATGAACCATTACACTCGGGGACACGGCACCTCCTGACGACTCCTTGTCTGCCATCCAGTGTTCGACACCCCGTACGGGGAC